CCTACTTTAAGCGTATTATATACCTTAAAAAGCCGACGACGTCCTATCGACTCGTTATAACCCAGCAACGACCTAAGGGGAGGGGGTGATTGCATACACCGCATCGACATTATATACAGGTGACTTACCCTCGACGTCACTAACAATAATATTGTTAACACAAGATCGTACCGATTTCGAGGTACTTAACTCAATATTTATGCAGCCCCTAGAGAGCAAAAAATTATTGCCACAATATAAAATATAGTAGGTATACCTATACCTAAATACGGTCGAGTCGTGAAAACTCAAACAACGGTAACTCGAAAAACTTGACAACTTGATTTTTTTTTTATTCCCCTTGAGGTTAAGTTAGGTTAAATTCGGTTTTGGTATATCGAATAATACATAATATCTCAAAGCGATTTTTTATCTCCCTTCAACTTCGAAAGTTATCGTGAATCGACTGCATTAATGTATACAACCGTGACTAGTGAAATTGAACCAATATATTGAATGAAGTAGACAGTATGCCGATTTTCCAATGTCTATGTAATGACTTCAGAATTTTATTTGGCTCTGTTCTGGGTTTGTGTATTATTTTTATGTTAAATTTGAAAAGTACTACGCAGTAGAACCTCGATATATCAAAGATCAAATTAAATGGAACTGTCTTCGACTTACCAATGTGTTTAAAGATTTATAAAAAAATCGACTTAATTATGTTATTATCGGTATTTATTAATAGTGTGTATAATTATTATTCATAAATTAACATGATGTACAAAAATTAAATAAATAAATAATATAAAATGTACAAATTAAATACAAATAAAATATATGCACCTAATCACAATTTAAAATAATTTGTCTTCAAATGAGATTCTTTGTCAACAGTATTTAGTATGTAAGTACTAACTCATTTTTTCAGTCAACAATCCGTTGTACAGCATTAGGTAGTTGAGAGCCCACAATAATAAATCGTTATTATTCTTATATACATATAAGAATCATGGAATATTCTAGAGAGGTATTTATGGTTTTCTTTTCGAAATTAAACTGGATATATTCCGACTTCTCAATGTTCTTTTTTTTCAATGTTTATACTTTATAAGAATATAAATTGTAAATTATTTTTTTAACACTTTCACTGTGACTGTTAGCCAGGGATGAAAAACGGATATTTTCACGGTCTGTCGACATCTTAACGGTAGGTATGCTGGATGTAGTCGAAATCAGGTCTATTGAATTAAATGTACTGTGAAATTTTAGCGTAAAGTGGAAATTTTTTGATTTGTCCAATTTTTAAAATAACTATTTGTCAAAATATAATTAATGATATTCAAATTCGATGCGCTCCTGGTAAAATAAAACAAAATATAACTCCTCTTGAACATGTCACAATTAATTTTGCGAATGTGGTTTAGCAATAAAATAGTGCATGTTGAAAAAAAATTGACCACAACCCCAACACATGACCAAATTATTTTTCCACAATAACTCTAAGCCGTATAAGATATTCCTCATACACACCTATGTTATTAATTTATTATTATTAATATTATTCATAATATACCTAATAAATAATAATGTTTCTTCAGCGTCATACATTCAACTGCTCAGTATAATCAGCCGACTCCATTCTTATGACTAAAAGTTTATAACATGTATACAATATTATTTTCATAATTATACTACATCAGCACCATTGAGTATAATAATTAAAATCACACCAACATGACTTTATACTCACCTATACATTTTACAACTGTTATACATTTATAAATCATAAATATTATTATAATAAGACTCATATAGCTTTGTTTTTTATATATAATTTAAACTTCATCAATATGGAACATTTTATTATAGTTATTAAATGTGCCTATTAAAATTTTATAAAGTATGGGAATGATACATTATCATGAATGTGAAATTAAATAATAAAAATGATACATATTGTGTGTATTGAATATACATAAAAGTATAATATATATATTTATATAATATACAGCACATATTATTATTACATAGTTGTAATTGGTTTCTTCCCCACAATCATAATTTGTTCCTTGTTGGTTTCTTTTCAAAACAATAAATGGTTTCTGTGCGAGGTACTTCTGTGAACACCCTCAATTGATCTGTTCTGCATGAGAAACAGTATACAGATTCCTTTCATATGGCCTCTAAAGAATACAATTAGTTCAATTATAATAATAATGTACATAATTAATTATATTAAATTACATTCAATTTATTTGTATATACAAACAATATAAAAAAATATTTTCTAAATGTTTCAAATTGAATGAAATATGATAACATTAACACCCAAGTATCTCCAGGTATCTAAATATAATATATGTTATATATGTGTAGTTTAATCATTTAAAATGTATGTATTGTAATATAGTTAGTTAAAAATCTTTTGTAGAATAACTAACAACTAGGTACTACAATTTTATATAGTTACTAGCTGATCCCGTACACTTCGTTGCCCGTTAAATGTATCAACTCTATATTACTCAAACTTTGTTCAATTCGTTATTTAATATTCGGTGTACGGTGTTCAAAATATATCTTAACTTTTCCGTTGCCCAGAATAAAAATTCTGAATCGCAGCAGTAAATTATCAGGTAGGCAATCTACCTGCGGTAGATCGCGGACCCCGTTCTGTATGTACGTAAGTGTACTCTAAAGTAATTCAATTCTAAAGTATCAAAGTTATACCAATTTGTCGTTTTTAATTAATCCCACCTACGTTTGATTAAAATAATCGATTTATTTAATCCCATTAAACATCATTTATATTTCAAAAGTAAAGCAAATTCATTTTTTTTTTCTATTATTATTATTACTATAATAGCTTAAAACCCCATGGAAACCATTTATAAACAAAAATTTCCATCTGAAATCTCAAAATTCCCGATTGAGCACCTCCCGGGGTTGGTCCTCTCCCTTTTTAAATTAGCCTATGTTTTAAGTTGGACCAAAATACAGACAGTGTAAAAATTTCATCAAGATCGGTCCAGTAGTTTTTACGTGAAAGAGTAACACAGTCACAAACTTTCGCATTTATAATATTAATAGAATATATTGACAAAAAACAATAATACAAGTCAACAAACATGCCCGTTTAACCAATAGCAACCAATATAATATAATACACTGTTGCGCCACTGTTCTTTTTTTACATCCAGATTTCCTACTTTTCCGGTAGATTTTCCTAAAATTTTCTTTCGTAAAAACCTCCTTCTGGCAATTACGAACATCTTAAAAAAAATTTAAGCCAAATTGGTCCAGGCGTTGTTGAGTTATGCGCTTACCAATACATTTTGCGATTCATTTTTATATTATAGATTAATTAATATTGAATGATATAATAAAGTCATAATACTGAAGTGTATTTGTGTATTTTATGAATTGTTACTGAGATATACTGATAAAAATATTGTAACTGGTTTATAAATATAATCCCTATTAACTACCTACATATATAGGTTCTAGTAATATTGGTCTCGAAGAGAGTTATATCTTTAAAATACGGCTTGGCGAATTTTAACGATATATTTTTATATATATTTATTTATCCGAAACTGTAAAACATAATAATATTAAATGGAATATTCAAAGTAACAACACACGGATCTTGTTTTGACAAATATATCTATGATTTCCCTTGTACGCCAATGTTTATTCTTGTGTTACGATTTAGTTACTCTACGTATGTAGTAATGCCGATGTGGTCATCCTTTGTTCACTCGTCCAATATATATATTAGGGGACTTTTCCATCCAATAATACATATAGAAACGTGCAACGAATAGGCAATAAAAGCAATGATGAAACTTAGCAGAAGCTAATAATTGTATTCACAGTAATAAGTTCCGCCTGGGTAAATCAGAAATATTACACTGCGTGTTGTTGACAGTATTCATAATACATTAAAAAAAAAAGAAGAAAATACCCAGCTGATCTCACCCCTCCCCCAGCCATAACAAAACCCCTCCCAACTCGTTTGCGCAGAATGTCACAACTCGATTGTGCACAAACATTAATTTAGCTACCTGTGACGAAAACCCTTAAAAAGTAAATTCGTTTACTCACAAAATATGTTATACGTTATCTGAGTTTCCTCACTATTTAATGGCCTATGACTAACGATTCAACAGACTACGCGGTCACTGACTTGTTGTGAAACTGTACCTATCTTTTTTTTTTTTAAATAGTACTTGCATAAAAGTCCAATATGATTTGTAATCTACTCGAACGATTATTTTTATTTTAAGTTATACTTGATAAATTGTTATCGAATATTCGGCGAATTGTACAGCCATATGCGCCTGACAGGGCTTACAAACCCTGAAAGGGATTGCAATTTGTAAACGTAATTATAACGGAAAGCGATAATCAAAAATAATTAAGTACCTCGAAACAAAACATAACGATTAACAAAATATATTATACAATATCATTAAACAAAACATAACTCAAAACGTAATTTATAGAACATCAGTGAACCTACCCACACGGCTTTGCCGTAGTCCATATTCGGGTTGACGACGGTTTTTGCTGTGCACGATAATATTATTGGGTCGTCAATTTTCGAATAAGAAAATGTCGAATTGCGAGTGGCGCTGTTAACATATAAAGGCTAATAAGTTAACTAGCTTTGGGTGACGAACGTCAGCCTATTATAGTATTATATAATATCGTTATGATTTATGATAAAGTATTCGTCATCGTGATATTATTCAAAACGAATTGCGTATTACATCGCGGCTGGGGCGAACTCAGCACCATCGTAATATTACGGGGTTCAAAAAAATACAAAAAAATATGAAAATGTCAGCGTTTGCCCCAGGGGAATATCTGTCCACCTTAAAGGTCCTTTTCGAGCGTGCGTGCTCGGGTGTGTGCGTGTGCGTACCTAAGCTGCGGCATAATAATAATTACCTATTATTATTACGATGACGACGATACAATATTTTGCATTAAACTTGCGTTTCGTTTCGTTACAGGATTGGTTCACGAGGCAACAGTTGGTGTTGGTGATATTGATCGTCAACATATCGTTGGCGCTGATGTTTTTCAAACTTTTGACATCCTAGACGCGGCGCCGGTGGTGGACGGCTTGGACACTTCCCGCAGCCATATTATACGAAAATAGAAAAACAAAATATACATTTATTATATTTTTTCAATCATGATAATAATATTATGTTGTGTTAATTCGCGGCGGTGACAAATCAATAATTGTTATTGCGCGTCAACATTAATTATTATTTTTATAACGACCGTTTCGGGACGAGACGGCTTCGGAGCGGCACCGGACGTCTCGTCCGGAAAACGTTTCGATGCGTTTATTTATTCGTTTCAATCACTTTTTGCAATGTTATAAACTATAAATTACAATACATATATATATATATTATATACATATATACTTAATATTTATATATATATATAAACATACACATATAACACCACGTTTGTTGTACGGCGTTATTTCCCAATAAATCGATTTATTATTATTATATTATTATATACACGTAGTGACACGATGTGAGGTCGAACAACTCGACGACGGCGTCTTAAAATATTATTATTAAATAAGGCTCGAGTCGAAAGCGATTGGCTTTTATTTCGGTATAATATAATATTATTATTTTGTTAGTGAATATAGTGCATTTGATTTAATTTTTTTTTTTTCGTTCTCTAGATGTTGTTGTTGTTGTTTTTTTTTTGTTTCCCGCATCAATATTATACAATGACCAAAAATATAATAATATAGCCAATATTATCATTATCATCATCGTTATTGTTATTACTATTATTATTATTTTTATCAATATCATTATTTTATCAGCATAATGAAACGCAAAACGGATACGATTGTTTTTTTTGTAATCTTCATCACGTCATACACTCAATATCATTATAAAATGTTATGTAATTGCATTTTATTAATTATAATTAATAATATTATAATGTAGCTAATGTCGATAACAAATCTTATCTACATACACACACATACACAGTACACACACATACACAGTACACACACACACACACACTAGAGTTGTACTATGATGGCTGAGCATTCGTAGGCTTTCGTTGTTGTATGTTCTATAATATTATTATTATAATAATATGTTACGTATTACCGTAGTGTTTTTTATTTTGTATTGTGTTTCTCGAGCATAAAACAATAAAAATAGAAATGGAGAAGAACATCGCTGACACACCAATGCAGTGTTATAACTTATATTGCTATTATAAATATTATAATTATATTATATTATTATCATATTTTGTGTGTATGTACGCAATAATAAAACGTGCGTACCTATAACGCATCACCGACGATAGACGAAATTTTATGTTGTATATTGCTTATTTTTTTTTTTTTTTTTTTATTATATTATATCCGCGGCGACTATGGCCATTGGACGACATTAATGCTATACAATACTATACAGGGTTAGAAATTTTTGTATATAGATACATTAAATATGAAGGAGAAGACAAAAAAGAGAAAAAGAAAAAAAAAAAAAAAATACAAGAAAGAAAAGACAGTATAACATAATATAACTTAAATTTTGTTGAGAAGTCCTGTGTTGTGTAAAAAAACCAACGTCGTTGTTAGGTTGCTCTGTTCGGGGCTGAGTGATTCGGCTAGCTGGTCCGGAAGGTTCAGTTCCCTCCTTTCATTTTCATATCTTCGGCATTCTGTGAGGATGTGTTTGACAGTAAGTAGGGAGCCGCATTGGGTGCAGATGGGAGGTTCTTCTCCCTTCATGAGGTGTTGATGGGTGATGTGTGTGTGTCCTATCCTGAGGCGAGTGATGGCTGTCTCCTGTTTCCTGGAGATGTTTGCAGGGAACGGCCAAGGGTATGTGGTTCTTTTGATCTCATGTAACTTGGTTGTCACAGCTGCCCATTTGTTTTCCCATTGGTTGTGTGCCTCTTTAGCAATGATCCTCTTAACATCCTGGTATGTAAAAACCAGTGACGTAAGGGGGTTGTTGGCTAGGTGATTGCTTATTAATTTCACATATTTTATATAATATTATGCATCATAATTCATTATATAGGATTGCCATCATCGATGGTCGTTCCGAAAAATGGTATTAAAAAAAAAATTTAGATATTCTAAAAATTCGCTAACTAATTTCGCTGATAAATTCAAACCGGCGTTGAAAAAAACCGCATCGGTATGTTTGCACCATAATATCATTTCATATTAAACTATTTTTTGTCACTATTATGCAATTTTTGAATAAACAACATTATTAGATAATATTCAAATATAATATTATCATATTATGTTGTACTATTCGTTTTTCAATGGTCTTTTAAATTATTTTTATTTTTCAATTCAGCTTCTCCACCACTCCTCTTTCATAATATTTTGTTTATTTTTATTTATTCTGCAAGAAGATAATGGCCCCACTGAATATGTTCGTGTGAGGGCACAATAAATATTTGAAAAAATATAGTTGGTGTCAAAAAATATTTTGTTTCTCAGAGGGACGGTAGCGTTAAAAAGATCCAGAACCACTGATATATACATGGTTTAATATCCTGGTGAGGGATAATATGGTGATAATTTTCTACCGGTTTTGACCAACGAATTTCTAGATTTTAAGTTGTAATAATAATCGGTTGGAAGTCATATTAGGAGTACAATACGGTTCTCTTAGAAATACTGCAGCTGTAATGTAGGTGCTTGACCTGTATATTCAGTGTAAGAAAAAAAATTGTTCGTATCTGAATATTCAAATGTTCTATTGATTCGGATTCATAATAATTAGAATGGGAATGCATGAATAGTAATTTTAAAAGAAAGACTCAACCTATACACGAATTAATTCCAAACACCGCTTATATTGTATTGTATTCCGTCATAGATTCCATTGATTGATGAGAAACGAATAACACGAATATTGTTTTGAAAGAAAAAAAAAATATCATGCATCGCGTAAATAATATTTTACAAGTATTAAAATTATGGAGCAGAGTTTGCTAGACATTCTCTTCACATAGCGAATTTTATTCTTCTTCTTATTATGGTCACAAAAATTGAGCTTTGAGCGGTACCGTGTAGGTAGTTTTCAGGAAAATGTTCGTCAGGATCAAATAAATTCTGGAAAATATTTGTCAGAAATACTTTTGTGATGGGAACTAATATTAACTGGAAATCACTTCTTAGTAAAATTAAATTTCGGAAAAGTATAAATTTGGAAAATATTTTCGAGGAAAATTATTTATATAATTTCAAAATGAATGAAAATATTAATCAGGAAAATAATATTTGGGAAAATAATACACTAGAATTCGAAATCAAGAAACTAATATTACATAGGAAAATATAATATTACACAAGAAAATAAAAATTAGGAAAATATTACCCAAGAAAATAATCGACGGGAATTTAAGTATGGTCGAATTGCACTTATTTTAGTCGAACTGCACTTGGGTTTAAAAAAAGTATTGGTCGAACTGCACTTTCGCTCAAAAAAGGTATTCCAACAAAAATATCATGCATTTGAAGGGATTAAAGTTAAATGTTTATAAAACACTCATTTCCTTTCCCACTTACAGACAATGATTTTAATCATTGGCGTACCATTGTCCATTATGTTAATATAATATTATACAAAATACATTTATTAAATCATCAAATAATATTATTTTAATTATTATTATAACTTTTTTTAAACTAATTTTAATATTTTTTGTAGTTTATATTATACAAAATATATACATTTTTTATTCTTTTTTTAAATTTTCAAATATTATTATGACGATAAGCTTGAACGTTCATAATGACCTTAAACATATTAACTCCTTTTTTTGAACGAGTGCAGTTCGACCATTGCCTTTTTTGAACCCAAGTGCAATTTGACCATTTCTTATTAGTTAATTAGTGCAATTCGCCTCTCCCGGGGAATTTAAATATTAGGAAATAGGGGTATAATATACGGTATACCGTCGACAGGGTACGAATATTATTGTGCTGGCAATATTGAACACGTAAACGTTTCGATGGCGATGGGACTTTGGGAACGAACCAAAAAATAAACCACCCCTACGGTCGAGTGTTCACATTATAATTATTAGGTACCTTGTGCGTACCGTTTGCGGCAGGTGCCCTCCCCGAAAACGAATGGCGTCGGTCGACGGTGTAAAGCGAACTATATACACAGCCACACGTGTACGACATTATTATTAATGTGATGTCACATAATGTTTGTATGTGCTTTAAATTGTGCACGAAACATTATATATTTTATTGTGTGTTTACCACGTTTACCGTCGACTGTCCTGCAGCCGTAATCAAACATCGTGATAATTATAGTACATATTGATATTATGTTAAAACAGGACCACTCCTTGGGACGGGTTAAATTGTTTGCGTCCCATTCTTAGGGTTATTTTTGTTACACATTATCAAGTATATTTCTTTTAACACACAACCCGTCTCGCGTAGCTCTCGGTAGTTTATATCGATTTGAAATCTGTGGAACCGTGGTGGGAGGGGGGGGGAAACTTCACGGACGTTCGTTACTGTAGTTTTTTTTCTAGAATGTACTTTATTACTTATTTACTTATTATTATGTTTGTTATAGAATACTATTTATATGAGTTGTAAGACCATGACATACGTCATCTACATTAGTTATTCTTTTTTTTTTCTATTGGCCATCTGCCACACTATCCCTTTTCCACCAATTTTCCCTATCGGCTGCTAGTATTTTCTAGTCTGGTTCTCTATTAGGTCTTATTAAGTGTATACCTTCCCATCTTAAACGTAGGCTACCAAATCCCAATATCACCTTTTTCCAACTGTGTCCTCTTCCATAATCATGCGTAGAAGTTGGTTCAGCATGTCCATATATTTCCAGCTCACTGTAATCTTCGTCTCTTCATTGTGCCTTGCATGTGAAGAGTCTTTCCGACTTTTAAGTCTTTCCAACTTTCCACGTTCTCCTCTCCTCCGTCTCATCATCCTTTACTGGTAAAAAAATCTTCCTTAAATTTTTCATTCGAAATCTATAAGTTTCCTTGCCTCTGTCCTCCTTAAGGGCCACGTGTCTGTATCATC